TATATATATGCACATACGAAGTGAGCCGTAAAGCAACGATAAAGTTTTATAGTTCACGGTTCGAGTCGTGAAAGCAGTCTTAGACCTTGAACGTGAAATGACTTATGTATTGGACTTCCCTTTTTATATATATTAGGTTAACAGTGACATGTAGATAATTGGATATGAACTTGATCACTGGGCAGCTACCCCAAAGACTAATACATACGATCTTATCTTTACATATATAATTGAGGATTTCATAAGAAAATTATTAGGGATCTGCCAAAAAAATATCAAATTAAAGTTTTTAGAAAGTAGCGGTAATAAGGACATAAATGTTCACTAAAATTTCAACCTTGGAAAATTGTGACTTTATATATATATTTTTTGTAATAGTGACTTTATATTTATTTGTTGCTTAGGAAAATTTTAATTATTTCTTATATATTAGTCCCTTTTTGTGTTTATTTTCAAAATACATTTTCAAATTATTCCTTTCAATTTCCAACGGTGCTTAATAGGCAAAAATGGGATATGACTTTTTAAGCAATAAATTAATGAATTAAATAATGTATGCGGTTCGTTCAAAAGTTGTAAATTTAGTTTGTTTGTTTTTGTTTTTCAATAGGTGTCTGAGTCCGATTAAGTTAAAATTCCACATAAGTAAATAAAACACTCCCTAACAAAGATACTCGAGAATAGAAAAAATATTTACCACTTTATCATAATTAATGAATTAAATAATGCTTAGGGGCCTTTCTAAAGTACTAAAGTGAATTGAAGTACTGAATTTCCACGTTACTGTGAATGGTCGGTTTGCTGTGTAACTTTCGGGGGAATATTTTTGGAATATGACAAAAACTTGAGTTTAAGAAATTGATTGTACAATTATATTTTTTTTAAGTGGTAAGTTGATTGATTTCGGCCTTTGATCAAGTTGTATAGGCAGTATGAGATTTTGAGATTGTCTTAGTTCTTTGTATTATAACAAAATTAGGTATAGATTGAGAATGACAGCATCAAAAACTAAACCACGAAAAAGACAAAACAAGAAAATAAGAAAATAATTATATCTTTCTCTGTCTCTTTCGTACCTCACACAAAACTATAAAATAATAAATAAAGTGATGTATATGAATTAAAGTATAGTCTTGGTTGAGAATTTGAAAGTTCCCTAGGAACACTTTTAGAAGTTTAAAAATAAAAAGTAGAATCGGAAAAATTCGTGAAGTCTTTTTAGTAGTTTAATCACACCAAGGTCCTTTGAATTACTCAATAATAATAAAAACAAAACAATTTTTTGTATACATTTCAAATGGAAGTTGGGCTACATAATTTATTAACGAAATAGCCATTCAAGTTCTAAAGAGACACATCTATAGCCTTTTTCTTTCTTTGAATCTATAGCTTTCTTGATGATGCGATATAAGCAGTACTCCATTATTTTTGTTTTGGCATTTATACTTTATTTAATAATTGTAAGTTATATTTTAGTAGTGACGCATTGGACAAAACAAGTGCATAATACTATTGCAAAAAATAATTCTTCCCTTCTTTTTATTTTGCATACTTAATACAATCAATTGATTATGTCTTTTTTCTTGCTGTGGCAGGAGATGGTAAATGGTTTCTCAAATTGTGCACTGACAGACAAACCCCTTTGGTCTCCAAACCTTACTCCCAAGCAGTCCAGCATTTCTGCAACTGTGGATTCACAATCTTCAATATGTGGTATTTATATCCAAATTTACCCTCTAAAATATATTTTTCTTGCCTTTTTTCGCTTATTTATTTATTTATTTTTTCTTTGCTGACCTTTTTTATTAATTCCTTAATATTATTTGTGTGTTTGTCATGACACTGAGTATTCTTTCGAAAAAGATTCATTTTTTCAACAAAATAACTTATTTTCTAGTGTTTGGTTCGTTGCAAGAAAATATTTTTTTTCAAAAAGAATACTTATTTCTTTACAAAAATGAGGAAAATGACTTCTTTCACTTTTGGATGACAATCTTTTTCCTTCGCAACTATCTCAATTCTTGATTTCATATGACTAATCTAACCAATATATACACATTATTATCAATCTTTAAAAGCAAAACTTTTTATTATAACACCATCCAATTTACTAATATTATCAATCTTTTATAAATTATTTTTCAAAATGATAGTTTCCTCTGCAGGCTGCAGCCAAACAATGAAAATTTCTCTAGAAAATAATTTATTTTTCAAAAATTATTTCACGTCACACCAAACACACAATTTGTTTTTTAAATTTATCTTTAGTTCTAAAGTTTCTAGCATATGAATTTGTATACTATACTCAGCTGGGAGTCCAACGCCAACTATAATGCCAAAGATGAAGGAAAGTCAAGTTATGGGAGCTACAAGTGGGTCCTATTCAGATGATGATGACGTGGACGCTGAAGTGGGTCCCTGTGAACAAAGCACTGACCCATTGGATATTAAACGCACCAGAAGGTGAATCTTATTTTTTCGACCATAGAGTAAAAATATTATACTAGTAAATTCTGAACTTTCTTGTCTGTGGAGTTATTTTATTAAAATTAATAAAAACACAGAAACTTTTTTTCTTGAAAAACATTATATGTCGTGTCAATTAATTAACCTACAAATTATGAGTTCAGTGGTATCAGTAAAAGTCTCACGACAATAAGTGTGAGTTTAATTTTTATTGTCTTCCTTTCTTTTTTTCCTTTACCATACCTAATGTAATAACAATTTAGAAAAGGAAAGATGGGAAAATTATTGAATTTCCATGTCAGCAGACACAATAATTTTAACAATACAAATAAGAATTAGCCATTTATCCACCCTTAACCAGAGTTCTCAGGTTCGAACTCTCTGAATGAAAAAAAATTAAATCTGAAGTAGTCAACACTCCATTACGAATATCAAACAATTTCGAGTGGAAAAAAAAAAAGAAGAAGAACTAATCATTTTCCTTTAACTAGTGGTCCTTTGTTCTATATAAATGACATCTTTTTTTATTTGATCTTATTATGTTAATCTAATTATGATAATAATAATGGTACACGTGTACTTCCAAATACGATATGTATTATTCCTGAAGTAGGATAAAGACTTGGAAGTAAAAGGCATGTTTTGGCAAATAAATCAATGATCTCCAAAATGTCACTGTCGTTGGCTTAATTAAAAATAATAATTATTTGTCTCTATATAGAGTTTTATTTTTGGCTAATAATTTGGATATGGTGATTTCAATTTTTAGGCAAGCCTCTAATAGGGAGTCTGCAAGGCGTTCGAGAAGAAGAAAGCAAGCACATTTAGCAGATCTTGAAAATCAGGTATTTAAATAAATATTACTTCTTTTATAAGAGTTTATAAAAAAAAAAGTATTTAAATTTAAAGAAAAAGTAATTAAATTAGAGATCTGTCTATAAATTTGTTTGTCTCTTCATATTAATATATTAATTCACATCTTGACTAATTATATCTAGATCAATAATCATCACATATATGGTCATTGAATTAATTATGAAATCATTATATGCTAGTGAAATTTCTTGTTACAACCATTTTGAGCTGAAGTCTAGTGATACTAGTAGTTACTAGATCCTCTTCGATTAAAACTTCAAAATTGTTTAAAATATAGATAGAACTATTAGAAAAATATCATTGAGTGCCTAATACGAGTAGATTTTTGTTTTTTACAAAATGGTTATAGACAGAGTAGTCCGTCAAAAAGTTGACTTACTAGTCATATATTGAAAGGTGTTATAATGCTAGCAATTCATAATTAGCATCATATTAATGGTTCACTCATTCATCCTAATTAGCAGTATAGGCTCGGTACCAAGATTACACTTATATTTATTATAATATAAATACTTTAAATTTTGTTAATTGTTATAAGTTCTCCTTTTTCTATAATTCTTTGAGGTATTTTATGTACATATTTTATCAGGTTGATCAGTATCGAGGTGAAAATGAATCATTGTTCAAGCAGCTTGCAGATGCTACTCAACAATATAAAGATGCTTTGACTAATAATAGAGTGCTCAAATCAGATGTGGAAGCATTAAGAGCCAAAGTATTGTACCCACTATTCTTCGTTTTCTTACACTCCATTTCCCATTTCAATATTTTTTTAATGGTTCCTCAAAATAGAGGTTTAATTTTGTCCATGAAAATATAATTATTTGAATCGCCTAAGTTTAAACAAGTTAGGTTGGATATATATTCATTTGCGGGTCAATTTTGGTATAACCCAAATTAGCTCACATATTAGTTCGGGCCAATTTGGACTAGCTATATACAGTCAAACCTCTTTATAACAGTTTCGTTTGTTTCGAATATTTTTGGATGTTATAACGAAGTGCTGTTATATAGAACATATATTATAACATAACATAAAAATTGGTTCCGAAAAAGCTTGGCTTTTATAGTTAAGTGTTATATATAGGGATGCTGTTATAGAGAAGTTTGACTGTAGTCCAAATTGACCTGTAAGGAAACTTATCAAGAACATTAAAGTATACTAATTTTTTTAGCAAATATTTTTTTGAGTATGATTGATTAGATATAGTCATGTAATAAATAGAAAGGAAAAGTTTTTGTTAGTTTGATTGGTAATTAAATAGATTATAAAAGGAAAAATAAACAAATGAAAAATAATTTTGATTTGAGGGTTGGATTTATAACGCGTTGTTTAGTCCAAGTTGACCTGGTTTAATGCAAGTAAATTTTGAGTGGCCGGGTGATGACTTTACTCGTATATTGACTCAACCTATTTTAACACGGTCAAATTTAATCCAACCCATTCATTTTACGCCATTACTATTAAAAGTAATCCGTTTTGCCTTTGAGAAAAATGACATGACTAATGGTCAATTTATGTGATTCTCTTGCATGACGCATTTGATATTTTAAATTATGCTTAAACAAGTCAAATCATAATTTAACATGACTGATAATTTTTGTTAGTATTTGCGTATCGTGCAGATTCTAATACTAAATTTTTATGCGATGCAGGTGAAGTTGGCTGAGGACATGGTGGCTAGAGGTTCACTAACGTCAACAAGTTTAAGTCATCTTCTTCAAAATTACTTGAACACTCCTCAACCACTTGGTACTAACAACAATAATTTGTGTCGACTCGATAATGTCTCTCCGACCATCACTGTGCCCGGAGAAGACGCGTGGAGTGCAATTTCCGGCCAGAATCCGGTGATCGGAGTCGAAAATGTCAATGCATTTAACCGGAATTTCAGGAATGGTGGTGCCATGAGTGATACTGTTAGCTGTGTTTCTGATGTATGGTCCTGGGAATCACATGTCCCTTCTATTTCAAAGTGAACTAATTATTATGGTTTTATGTTATATAAATATTAATTATTGTGGTATGTATGGTCACAGACAATTAATCATATGATATGGTTTCTATTGTGTATGTGAGACTTATCATAGTTGTAACTATTTCAGGACTTTGGTAGTTAATTTAAGCTACTTATATGTTTGAGTTTGCCAATACTATATGTGAACTTTAATTTCTATAGTGGATACCTCGATTCTATGTTGTGTTATTCCACCTTTAATTATTATATGTACAAATTAGCATATTAGCCTTACATTAAAGAACAAAATACAAAATTGGTCGGTTGGCCGAAATTGATTACATCCGCTAGCCAAAAAGTATATAAAATATGTATAGTATATGCATATAATATACAATATATATATATAAAGTATGTTATGAAATATAATCAAAGTAACAATATAGAACAAGAAAAAATAAGCTAAGAGATATATATAGAGAGAGGAGAGATTTTTATTTCTTCTTCAATTGTGTATATTTTTCTATCTATTTCAAGGCCTTTATATAGGCGTGAAAAGTGAAGAAAAATATGTTATTGAATATGTCGTTAAGCATAGAAATATGTCATTAAGCATTTGAGAAGATCATGAAGGAAGAGTAGATATCCACCATAATTTGATTTTTCTTATAACACTACCCCTTGGATGTCCATAGATAATGTGCCTCGTTAAAACCTTATTAGGAAAAAACCCTATGGGAAAAAAATTTCAGTGAAGGAAAAAGAGTACACATGTTTAGAAATACGCCTTTTGGTTGCCTCGTTAAAAATCTTGCAAGGAAAACCCAGTGGGACAAAACTTTGTACAGGAAAAAGAGTACAACGCGTATTAACTCCTCATGATGAGAGCATCAATTCATATCCTTGAGTCTTCGCATCCCAATCTTGTACACTAGTTTCTTGAGGTTGACGTCGGTAGAGATTTGGTGAACAAATCAGCCATATTATCACTTAAATAGATCTGTTGCACATTGAAATCACCATTCTTTTAAAGATCATGTATGAAAAATAACTTTGGTGAAATATGCTTTGTCCTATCCCCTTTTATGAATCCTCCCGTCAATTGGACTATGTATGCTGCATTGTCTTCATACAAAATTGTGGGTAGTTTGTCACACTTCAAACCACATTTGTCTCGAATAAGGTGTATTATAGACCTCAACCATACACATTCTCGACTTGCTTCATGAATAGCAATTATCTCAGCATGATTAGATGAAGTAGCCACGATTGATTGCTTATTCGATCGCCAAGATATGGCAGTGCCTCCATATGTAAACACATAGCCTGTTTGAGATCGAGCCTTGTGTGGGTCAGATAAATACCCAGTATCGGCATAACCAACAAGATCGGGACTGCAATCATTGCCATAAAATAATCCCATATCGATAGTCCCTTTTATATATCACAATATGTGTTTGATTCCATTCCAATGTCTCCTTGTAGGAGCAAAGCTATATCTTATTAAAACATTAACTGAAAAAGTTATGTCAGACATTGTAATGTTAGAAAGATATATTAGTATACCAATTGCACTAAGATATGGTACTTCAGTACCAAGAAGCTCTTCATTATTTTCATGAGGTCGGAATGGATCTTTATTTATATCGAGTGATCTCACAACCATCGGGGTTCTCAATGGATGTGCGTTATCCATATAGAATCGCTTTAAAAATTTTTTAGTGTATGCTGATTGATGGACAAAAATTCCATCTTTCATATACTCAATTTGTAGACCAGGACAAAATTTTGTCTTTCCAAGAGCTTTCATTTCAAATTCTTTCTTTAAATAGTCTATTGCTTTAGGAAGCTCCCTAGGAGTCCCAATGATATTTAAATCATCAACATATACGGCGATTATAATAAATTTAGATCCGGATCTTTTTATAAAGACACAAGGACAAATTGAATAATTCTTGTACCCTTCTTTCAACAGGTACTCACTCAAGCAATTATATCACATGCGTCCTGATTGTTTCAATCCGTATATGAATTTTTGAAGCTTTATTTAATAAATTTCTTGGAAACCTTAATATGCTTCATAACAATTTAAATCCTTCAATGATTTTCATTATACGCATATCACGTTTTTCTTGTATTGCCAGATTAAAACTTGAAATGACGACATCTACCACAGGAGAACATGTCTTTATATAATCAATGCCAGGATATTTACAAATCTTCTTGTGACACAAGTCGTCCTTATGTCTATCGACTTGACCTTTATTTTTTCGTACAAGAACACATTTATACCTCCACTGGCTTTATACTTTCAGGTGTTGGGACTATCCGTCCAACTTCATATTTTTCAGGTGAAATTAATTTTTATTGTGTATTTTTTATTTGGCCAATCATTTATCTATCCAAATTTCATGACAGATTTGAGCTCAAGATCCTCGCCAATATTAATAATATTGAGCGCTACATTATATTAACAATATCGTCGACAATTATTTTATACCGGTTCTACTATTACACAATAAAGACATAACTTATTGAGATCTCTTTATCTTATTATTTTCAGGTACATGAGCCTCTCCCATGAGGTCTTATGAAGTGTTATGTTGTGGTGAGCACTTGCCTCCTTATTATGACCATTTTAAACATTTGCTCCTCTCCTTCTTCAAAGAGTTTTATCTTTGGAACCGATTAGTCTATTATGCTTCATGCATGCCATAGACTCTATTCATTATAAACTTTATTTTATTTGGAGCATTAGCAGCTGAATATGACATTTAAATTTGGGCAGCAAATACGCGTGTCAATATTTTGCAAATGAATTATCACTTGAATTTCAAGTTCACATTTTCTCGTACGAGGATCTAGATGTACTCATAATAATTCATTACATGCATTACCTTTTCAGCTTCCCATTTTCTTCCCATATTGTTGGGATCACCAACACATATACCTAGCCTTATTTGGGGATCCATCTTTGTGCATTATGGTGGAACAATTAAATCATATAGCACATTCATATTTCTAGATGAAAATTATTTGGTTCCTGACCCTGAACCAATTGTGATAGGGAGAACTTATCATAACTTGGCTAGATACGTACACGTGTTGTTGTATATTAAATAATACATCACATACCAAATTTTATTTTGGTAGTTTTGTTCTCATGACCAATGGTTTAGATATAATTGGAGGTATACAATTTCTGCTAAACCAACTTGGATTTAAACTAGTATTATCAAGATAAATCATCATAATTTATATTCTGGAACTGTGCTCTAATAATTTGAGCAATCAATCTTGCAAAAGCCAAACTGCAAGCTGATAACAAATGCACATGTGACCATAGAATAGATGCATCTATTAAAATCATATAATAGTAAACGGTCCACATGCAAGGTGACTGGGCCCATATATTTATCGGGATTCAATCCCAACCTTAACTGGTATATCATGAGAATAAGCAGCACAAGAGAATTCTTGAAGAATCTTCTATTTCTTCAATATATGCCTATGTAATTCTCAATTAATTTTTCGCATTATAATTGAACCGGATGGTCAACCGGTCATGCCAACTAATATTTGTTTCAGTAAACCTCTAGTTTACTTGTGACATATGATTCCATCATCAAGCTTATATTTGTATAGTACAAATAGAAAGAAAATTATAACGACCCTGCTGGTCGTTTTGAGAGTAGTAGCCCCGATCTCCTATTAACTGCTTTCACCGTATCTATTTCTGCTATTGTGACTTGCCGGGAGGTTTCATTTTGTTTTTTGGAGTGTTTTGGGACACTTAGTCCCTAAAACGGGAGCTTAAGTTTTAGGATTTTAACCGTAGTCGGAACTATATGAAGAAGACTCAGGAATGGAGTTTCGTCAGTTTCATTAGCTCCGTTGGGTGATTTTGGGCTTAGGGGCGTGTCCGGATTGTGTTTTGGAGGTCCGTAGCCCAATTAGGCTTGAAATGACGAAAGTCGAATTTTTGGAGATATGGACCGATAGTGAAAATTTTGATATCGGGGTCAGATTCCAATTCCGAAAGTTGGAGTAGGTCCATAATGTTGAATATGACTTGTGTGCAAAATTTGGGGTCAATCGGACGTGGTTTGGTTAGTTTCGGCATCGGTTGTCGAATTTGGAAGTTTCAAGTTCTTAAGTTTAAATCGGAGGATGATTTGTGATTTTAGCATTATTTGATATGGTTTGAGGGCTCGACTAAGTTTGTATGGTGTTTTAGGATTTGTTGGTATGTTTGGTTGAGGCCCCGGGGGTTTCGGGTGTGTTTCGGATGCTTAACGGATTGAATTTGGACTTAGGCTAGTTGCTGAAGATTTTCTGGTTTCTGGTGTTTTCGCACCTGCGGAGGGGAGACCGCAGGTGCGGGATCGCATGTGCGAAGGGGGAGCCGCAGATGCGGCCAAGAAGGAGCTGGGCAGGAACCACATGTGCGAAGATGTTCCCGCACCTGCGAGAGTCGCAGATGCAGGCAGCTGGGCGCAGGTGCGAGGGGAAGTCGCAGGTGCGATGCATTTCTGCACTTGTGATAGTCGCAGATGCGGTCGCATAGCCGCATGAGCGGAACCTGGGATTCTAAGTGGAATCTGCACCTGCGATGGCATTTTTACATGTGCGGCGTCGCAGATGCGACAGAGAGTCCGCATGTGCGAGATTTCTGGACAGGACACTTAAATGCAAAGGTTCGCGATTTTTGCTCATTTTCAACATTTTGAACTCGGGTTTGGCGATTTCTTGGGAGTATTTTGAGGGATTTCTTGAGGTAAGTCCCTTGTGCTTATTTTTGATCAATAATCTTGCTTCCCCATTTATTTTCCCACCTAGTTAGTATGTATTTAAGGTGGAAATTGGGAGTTGGAGGCTAGGGATTTGAAGAGTTTGATTTGGGGTTTTGAGTAGTCATTTGAGGTCGGATTTTGATAAATTTGGTATGGTTGGACTCATGAGTGAATGGACTTTCGAATTTTGTAATTTTTGCTTGATTACGAGACGTGGGACCGGGTCGACCTTTTAGGGCGAATTTTGGAATTTTTCGTTAAAATATTGATTTCATTATTTAGATGAGTTTATTATGGTTGTATTCATGATATGTAATTTGTGTTTGGCTAGATTTGGACCATTCAGAGTCGGATAATCGAGGAAAGGGCATTCTTACGGATTGATTGAGCTTGACTCGAGG